CTGTAGCGCGCTCTTGGGAGTTGCACCAGGCTGCAATTTTCCGAGCTTCGTCGTTATGAAAAGCTGGGACCTAGACTTTCCAGAAGCTACTATGCCATCCCCCAATGTATCCTCGTTGCCATAGACTTGCGCACCATCGAGGTGTGTAAAGCCATTGTCGATAGCAAGGCGTATGGCATCCTCAGCATCTTTACCAAAGAGCGCAGTACCAGTGCCGAAAGCTATCCAGGGGACCTGGTGTCCGTCATTCAAAGACAATGTGGATATAGTCATTATGGGTGATCGGCCTGCAAAGTAGCTTGAACGGAATCCAGTTATTATATGTTGTTTTATATTCGGTTTTAGTACTAATGAAGCGGATCTCCGTAACATGACAGCCTGGTGCGATGATGCAATTGAGGTGCATCAATTTCCATGTCACTGTAAATTCTAAGTACTAGAGCGTTAGGGCGGCCCGCGGTGCCGGGATCTGAGATAGACCAGCCCTAAAGAAAAACGTCTGTATTTAATTGGCTCACTTTCGTTCGAACACTTTACAACTTCCAGGCGCTTGCATACCACATGTTCGATTGTCTATACTACTGGCAATCTTTCATCTCGTAGCACCTCAGATGAGTACGGTCCACCCTTTGGCCGGTCGTCCTAGCTTTCTCGGATGTTTCGGTCACCAGGTGTACCAACAGTTGAAAATTTTTGCCGAGATACACAATCTAATATTATAATATTGTCTTAGTGCATGATACCCTCCGACTGAACACAGACTAAATTTACTGCCCACTACTACTTATAGTGGGATTCGGAATCGCTATGCCCATTTTCTCCGGGTGACCAGGCGGATCATGCGGCAGATATGAGAGTGCACCACGCTCTTCGTATCGTTTGCGAAATCAGGCAGCACAACGATCCCACGGACAAACACGAAAGATTATTTGTCAGCCTGTCTTCTGTAGTCACTTGCAGGTCATCGGAAGCCCATTTGACTGCTGTGACAAGGTATGCAATGCAAGGGTGCTCAGAACGAGGGGCGCTCAGGGCCAACTTTTTGACGTAGCCTGACTCGCACGATGAATAGACCCATCGGCAAGTTCAACAACTTCCAGCTGTCAACATCACATGTCACGTCTAATGATTCCCGCATCGTCTGCTCTCATGGATCCGAAATATCCTGGTGTTGCCGAAACAGTCCCATTAGGGTACCTCATGGTACATGGCTCTCGTGGTTGGTTGATAAAGACCGACCTTGCGGCAAAGTTCTGCCCCGCCTCTGTCAGCCCCGTACACTACCCCCTGTCGGTGGATACAGCTGGCCGGATCGTTTTCGCGGTTGCAGTCGTGCAACAGGACCTGTACTCCGTGTCTAGGCTCGGTAACAGTAATTTTAAACGGAACGAGAGGTACGGGGCGGTAGGGGTAGCGGCAGCCCCCTGACGAGGGCCTTCGCAGGCTCGAAGCCGCTAATTCCACCCCGCTCTATAGCCTCCCTCTGGCTGAGGTAACAGACCCTTATTCTTAGGAGACGGGCGCCTGCAGCAAGGGCTAAGGAGGTGGTCAGACTCGATGGCGCTCTGCTGGACGCTTCTGACATGGGCTTCGCTTCCCTGTCAGTTCGCTAAGGCAGTGACGCGTGACGTGTGGAATCTGGCACGACGAGGTACATACCCATGTGTTCCCTGGCAGAACACAACGATCAACTCATTCTGCGTTCGGCGCAAGTCCATATTTGTCTGCAAACACTCAGCGATCATGAACGATTTCTGGCATGATGGAAGGGAGGAGGATGCAATGATATGATAATAACAACGAATCTAAGCGTCGAGAGCTTGCGCTTGCTTCCATACGTGATCGTTTGAGTATGCGGTGCTTTCATTTCATGTCAATATGGTCCTACTAGACAATAAATTTAAAGTTCCTCGACACTAATTTGAACGCCGTAGTTCAAATGTACAATAATGAGCACCAATCCAAGAAATGACAGATGGATACGGTTACATGGATATCTTAATGTCATCAAATTATGAGAGGGTAATCATATCCAATGGTTGCTTATCTTCAGGCTTGCAGTTAGATCTCCGGAGTGCCATTGTACTGTCCAGGCCGCGACTGTTGGGAAAGCACATGTGACGGTATGGATGGATTCTGGTATATGTTGCTAGACCCAGTGGTCAGGATGGTGGGGGAGGGAGGAGAACCTGGGAAAGTGGACGGGTCAGAGGGGTCCTGCGCAAGGAGATGAGTATCGATATATCACAAAATGATGAGAAACATACGTAAAGACGTGGTTGCGTCATTTGGGTTTGTCCTGCGAATGGAAGAGGGTTAGGGGAATAAACACTTTGAGTGTTGTAGCCCGGACCCCCGCCAATGTCGCTGAAGGCGGCCGATGGCGCTGTAGCAGAACGACGGCGTTTGATGAAGAACCATGTCGCAAGACCTATGATGAGTGCAGCTCCTACAACTCCACCCACAACACCCCCAGCTATAGCTCCAGCGTTTGAACTTGTCGAGTTAGTTGGTGATGATGTTGGTGATGAAGATCCTGCGGCCGCGCCCGAAGAACTGGTCAAAGCAGACACAGTGCTCGAATAAGTGACTGAGCCAGTAGATTGTACTTTTGTTGCGCTAGATTCCGGGGTATCTGTAAGAAAGTAAGTGAACAATGTTTTCTAAGATGGAAAAATTACAGCCGATGCTAACCTCCGGCGGCTTGCGCTGCGACAGGGTCGAATCCCACAGAGGACTTTAGAGAATTAGATTATGATAATTGCGATAGGTGGCCATGCACTAACGTTCACGGACAGGTACGCCCAATTCGGAACCAAGGTGCCAGACGGGATGTTATTTGGATACCTGTCGACCGAGTGGATATTAGAAAGCTTAGAGAACATAAATAGTATTGCGGACTTACGTTTGGATGTATACCTCGCTGCAATTGTAGCTCCAGGAAGACCAGCTACGAGGCGATAAGCACTCTGTGAAGTCGAGCATACTCGAATACGACTCACGGTAAATACGTGGCGTTCTGACAATCGCCGCAAGCGCTAACCAGGGAGTAGGTCACTGTGTTGCATTCGCAAGCGCTGGCTTCAGCGACCGTGGGAGCTGCATAATGGGTGTCGGGAGGTAAAGGACTGATTGAAAAAGCTGTGCTAGAATTAGTATGGATATACAAGGGATACAAAGAAACGAAAACTGCGTACCTCCACCTGTGCAGACGCCCTCAAGGTAGGAAGCAACCTCGCAAGGGTTCTGTTGGAGGCTGTTGTTCATCTGTAGATCAGCCAGTGATGCATCAGAATATGTATCGTAAAGGTAAATAAACAAAGAATTACCCAACCAAAAGAGGACAGGCATGTTACAGTCGACGTCTGGGCAAAGGCACCTCTGGGTACGAGTGCTGCCAGGACCACTATCAACGACCATGCCTTGGGGGACGACGACATAATAGATCGAAGGAGAAAGGGTGGAGAAAGGGCAGAAGCCTTCAAGTTACATATAGTAGCTAGGCGCTTCGTTCCTTATGGCTGTTCGACGTGTCGGGTGCATTAACATTTGCCAAGAACACTAATTGATTGAACACAGCTTTGAAAACGAGGGCCGTTTCAGGTTTTTTTTTCGATAACTCTCCGTGCCGTGCGTTTATAAGCTTAAAGGCCCACATGCTCGCTGGTAATGTCCGTTTCCCTGTCCATGGAAGCTCGGGTTTGGTCCAGGCTGCAATCATTCAAGGTCTAGGTCAGGGTCGGTGTCGGACCTTAGAGCACTAGCTTAATTAGTCAGGTACTCGAGTACCTAGTACCAAGTACTTCGTCAGGATCTTCCAACGCATTTGGGATGCTAGACTCATGGTATCAAAAATTATTACCAGTACTTCTGACTATTCGACAGCTGGCCGTTTACCTCAGACACCAGTCTATACTTTTCCGACCACTGAATGTACGTTGTTCCTGTTTATTATGTAATAATTTTATGTACCTTCCGACTGCAAGACATCAATCTGTTGTCTGAGTCACCATCATGGCTTTTACATGAACATGTCCCGTCAACTTGAAGTGTCTTTATCAAAATGGCCTCTGGCCTGTTCTCCTTCACAATCTGTTGCTGCAGCTATGGCACATCTCTTGGCACATTCTTGGCAATTCCGACATCCTAGGAGTAGTCACCATCGCCTTCGAGGGGTCATGCAACGTTATCTCAAATGCATCGTTCATGCACATATCGTCGTCTTCTTCAACATCATTAATCATCATCTATCGTCACTTGTGTCACCTCATGACTTAATGGACGGACAGGACACCCGGGACACGATATAAATGTCGTCCCGGACTTCCGTATTTATGGCAATGTTATTTCTTTAGGTCTTAAGTCATATCGGGCTGCTCTTGCAATATCCGGGGAAGAATTTTCCTCTAATAGGAACGATTGTATTATCGATGGTCACGCGTTTTACACGAGTTTTATGCCAGTTCTATGAAGTACGTCGTGGACTGTTTTCGATTTCCCCACTCTCGTTGTCTAGGATCAACCTTTGGTCGAACATATGCTGAAGTAGCTCGTGCACATTTCATATTGTGACGACTTGTAAGTGCACCATCTCAATAGTGTCCAAATACTTACAGTCTTCACGCCGTGATGTTCTAATGCTATTTGTCACCTTTTTATAAGACTTACCGTACTGATCGGGTTACTGTACAAGCATATGCATGTGCTGGAGAGCGCTCGCGCTAGCGAGTCATTGTGGGTTACAAAGGGAATGCGACTTGCTCAGCGATCAGCATCGCAAACTTTATTTCTCGTAGTACAAGTCACACGAAATAGACTCGATTCATGGGCCATCGCGATGCTTGACGAAGGCTTGTACGTTTACAGCACAATCATTAACGAAATGTTTTTGTAGCCAATTCAAAGGCTCACGCAACGGTACCTACGGTACAGACACTTTGCCGAAAGCACCCATGCCTGCCATGCAATCAAGTCGCAAGTGAGTGTCAAACCGTCTATTGAACCGCCATCCCGAGAACTTTTTATATTATTATGAGTAGTACCCATCAAGTCTGAAAAGCAACGTTTCAACTTTTGTTTACCAGAACATCAAGTGAGATAAGCCACTCTAGATCTGTGGAATACTAGCGTACTGTCCTAGACGGAACTGTTGGGGAAGGACGGGTGAGGGCATCAATGGATTTGGGTCTGTGTTGCTAGATGAGGTGATTAGGCCGGTGAGGGAGTGAGAATGACTTGGGAATGTGGTTGGGTTCGAGGGGTCCTGCACGAGGGGATGAGATGAACTGATGTATCATAGAATCATAAAAAACATACATAGAGACGTGATTGCCGCGTCATCGAAAATGTATTAGTGTGAGTAGAGTAAAAACTTCGACTGCGGTCCGGACCTCCACCTATGTTGAAAGCGGCTGATGGTTTTGAGGAGAGATGACGTTTGGCAAGGAACCAGATCACGAAGCTTATGATGGCTGCACCTCCTATAACTCCGCCAACAACACCCCCAGCTACAGTTCTAACGTTTGAACTTGTTAAGCTACTAGTAGATGTTGATGACGGAAAAAGTCCTGTGGCTGCGGCTGAAGAACTAGTCAAAGAGGCGTACACAGTGATGAACGAAGCAGACAAAGTGGACAAATAAGTGACTGTGGTAGTGGTAGTAGATGGTACATGGGTTGCAGTAGATTCCGGGAAGTCTACAAAAAGTGAGTGAATTGGCTTCTTGTGACACAGAGGTAATGCCCAAATCCTGACCTCCGTTGTTTAGCGCTGCGATAGGGTCGAACCCAGCAGTCACCTTCAGAAAAAGTTAGATTTCGACAGTTGGGTCAAGTGAATATGCACTAACGTTCAAATATGCCCAATTCGGAACTTTGGTACCAGCAGGAATGTCCATCGGATATCTGTCAATCAGGTGTATTAGAGAAGCCTGCAGAATATCAACAACCGTGCGGACTGACAATCCGATGGATATCATGGAGCAGTTGGAGCACCAGGAAGACCAGCTATAGAAAACAAGGGCCTCGTGAAGCTGAGCATACTTGATACAACCTGAGTACCACTCACGACAAATACAAGGTATCCTGACAAACGCTGCAAGCGGCCAACATCGAGTAGGTTACTGTACTACATGCGCAAGCGGTTGCTTCATCGCCCGAGGGAGCTCCATAAAACCAACCGGAAGACAAAGGACCGACTGTAAAATCTGCGCCAGAACTAGTATACAAGTTTAAGGCATACTCAGAAACGAAAACTGCGTACCTCCACCCACGCAGACGCCCTGGAGGTAGGAAGCAACCACGCAAGGGTTCTGTTGGAGGCTGTTGTTCATCTGCAGATCACCCGATCATGCATCAGGATATATATCGTAAACCTCGAAAAAGATATTACCCATCTATCAGAAGATATGCATGTCGCAGTGGACGCCTGCGCCAAAGCACCTCTGGGTACAAGCCCTGCTGCTACCGAGACCACTATCAACGATGATACCCTGGAGAGCGACGACATGATAGAAGGAAGAAAGGTGGGAAAGCCAAAACAGGCTGGAGCTTTCAGGTTACATACATATCGTAGTTAGGTGCTTCCGTTATTGTCGTATAAATAAGAAGTTCATTACTCACTCATATCAGTGGGCGTCTGCGCAAAGCTACCTCTGGGTACAATGTTGCCACAACCACCATCAACGACCATGGCTTGGCTCAGAGTGACAGCATGATGGATAAAAAGAACAAGGATGGGGAAGGCGAATTGGACAGCCTGACTCGGACTAGGAAGCGTTCGAATTATGGCACTGATTGTGACCTCTAGCAGTTAGACGCGATGCCGTGCGTGGCGGTAGTATTGTGAACAGAACTGTCAAAAATTGCTGCATTTTAGTTGACGTGAGACCACTAGATGGTGAGTTGAATGAATTCCTTGCAAAGCTGTATTCTGTGACCACTGGCACTACTCTGTCCAAGGCAAATTCTCCGTGCCTTGTTTTTCCCTTACAGATATACTGTAGTCGAGCGAACTCAGCATTGATGTTGTCAAAACCTGTCCCGAGCTACTTGGAAACCTCAGTATCAAAGTTGGATTTATGAACCTACTTTCGACAAGGGAATTGAGAAGACAGCCTCCAGACTTGAACATCGTGGAGAGCCTGTAGTACGTCCTGAGTTCTGCCACATTCTGCCCACAATACTATGATGGTCCGCCTCAATTGCCAAGCTTGATTAGAAATGACGGACTTGGTGTTCTCGATAGTTCGAACCGTCGAACGCCTCCATTCCAGCAAGTAGCTTAAAGAAAGGCCCACCACTGGTAATGACCATTTCCCGTAACGACAGATCCGTTTTCGAGCATGATCAAGTCTACTTGGCTCGGATCCAATTCGTGATCCGTAATGATCTGATGAGAAGTCATGTCAGATGATCGTCCAGCAAAAGTAGGGTGGTGAATCATGTGACATGTCTCTCATCCGTCACCCGTGCGAATATCTGACTAAGACTATACAGTTGCCAGCCACCGCAAGGTTCCAAAGTTGTCTCCGCCAAGGCCTACAGCGCCGACAATATCCTCAAAACTCCTCATGGCCCCCTCGACAACGTGAGTCTGCCAAGTTTCTGAATGGTTAACAACTGTTTACATATTTGCCAGGGTTCCTACAGTCTCGGTTCGTCCATATACTCGCGATCTGTATGATATCCATTAACTTCTGCTACAGGACATCGAAGTTCCGGAGACCCTCCTTAAAAAGCGCAAGCAGAACGAAAAGGCACGGGAGGAGCGCCTTGCTGCTGCTACTGCCGCACGGAAGGTTCGTGGCAACTTGTTAATTACGGCCTTGCTCTATATATGATGCATACGATTATTTCGAATGAATGGCTAGTAGGATTCGTTCTGCAGTGCCGCCTTCAAATTAACCATCTTTCGGGACTGATCTTTTTACTTTCCAATTGCTCCATTTTCGATAGCATACTGATTTCTGTTTCAGGCATCAAAGGCAAAACGCAAGGTTATCTTCAGCGGCGGAGAGCTATGTCAAGGAGTACTTGTCAAAGGAGAGGGGAGGAGATCCGATTGAAGCGTGCTGCCCGGACATCCGGTGACTTCTACGTTCCCGCAGAAGCCAAGGTTTACTTCGTCGTCCGTATTCGTGGGTACGTGCAGTTTCCTTCGGGATCATTCATTCTTCTCATATCCGCGCAGTATCAACGAGATTGCACCCAAACCCCGTAAAATCCTACAGCTTCTTCGCCTTCTTCAAATCAACAACGGTGTTTTGTGAAGGTCACCAAAGCTACTCAGCAAATGCTCCGACTGGTTGAGCCCTACATTACATACGGGTAAGTCGACCACTGTGGATCTTCATGGAAATTGATAAGTTCCCTTAGCGAGCCAAACATCAAGTCCGTCCGCGAACTCCTTTACAAGCGCGGTTACGGGAAGGTCAACAAACAACGTATTCCCCTGACCAACAATGCCATCATCGAGGAAACCCTCGGCAAATATGACATTCT